AGAGGAGAGGAGAGGAAAGGAGAGGAGAGGAGAGGAGAGGAGAGGAGAGGAGAGGAGAGGACCTGGGACTTTGAAGGTGCTTATCAGATGTCTCCTTTATCAAATACTCTTGAAAATATGGTATAAACAGGGCTGATTTAAGGATCTGTTGCTATGGGTATTCTCCCCTGTGTGTAAATGGAGGTCAGGTCTATGAACAATTATTGGTATTTAAGACTCAGTGTTACCTCTGAATTGGGGAGAATATGCTTCTGCTAGAAAGCATCCAGTACACATTTGGATGGCCACTGGGGGAAATAAAATGTTGGACTAAATGGCCTTAGCCTGATCCAGCAGGCTGTTCTTGTTGGCTGTTTCTCTTGAACTAGATAAATATATATGAGACTGTAAATCAGTAAAAGCCACCTTTCTGCAAGGATGATATATATACAACCCACCTTCCTTTAAGCTCTCAGAGCAGAGCATTACGTATGTCACATTATGTCATCCTCCCATGTTTAGGGCTTTACATGACTTCCATTTCTCTGTTTTTACAGCGCATGTCCTATGTGGTGTTTTCAGTTACATAGGTAGCACATCATCAGTTTTGTCCTATTTGGACTCACCAGACATACAGTAGATAGATGTTTTTCAATAGGAAACTTTTACTGGGAATTGAATTCATGGACTTGAGTACTTTAGGTAGGATAGCTCCTAAACTAGTACAGTGTATATAGCTATCTGAAGTGCAAAGGTCCATGAGTCTGATTCCTGGTAGAGAATTTGAACCCCATAGAACATCTGGTTACCACTGATTTTAGAAGGTCTATCAGAAAATGGAGGATTCTTCCACAGTTTTAGGAATTACCAGAAGACTACCATTGCTTTGAACAAGGAGAACAGGAGGCTGAGTTTCCTGGGAAAGCAAATGAACTTGTTGCCATGAAGAGGGTAAGGGCCATGCCATCAAGGAAGAATCAAAGCAGAAACCAGGGTGAGCAGCAGGCTCCAAAAAAGTATATCCCCAAGTATGGAACATGGTGCATCTGGATTTACGGTCATGTGGAGAACACAATGCAGGGAACCAGAGTGTAAAACCTAGCGCCTGTACCACTGAGGCCAAAAAACACAGTGCTGGCAGACATAAGCCACTTTACTACCTCAATATGCTGACATCCCTGTATGCTACCTGTTGGCTTATCTACTGCTAGGGAAGACCATGGTTGCTTGCCAAAACAACATGCATCACTGGACCATTAAGCCACAGTTTTTTTATCCCTAACCTCTGCATCTACTCTTCAGGGACAGTGAGCAGAGGGAGAAGTGCTCTTGTTGTCTGTCTTGCTAATAAGCACAAATAAATTTTCATGCCCAAAATGCTGCTTGCATTTCTTGTTACTGTAGGAACTGAGACAGAAGGAAGCACAACTCCCACACAACTCAAATCCCCTTAAATACCGGTATTCTGCAACTGCCTTGTTGGCAGCAAGAGGAAGCTTTAAGAGGAAGCATTTCCTCATTACTGGTTGCAGATATTTTTCCAACACTCCCTTCAGAGTTTTCAATCTATGTCTTCTACTGGTCTCAGTAACAATCTAGGATAACCATCTGAAGAGTAGCCATGCAACCGTCTTGAGAACTTTAAATTGAGTAGAGTCAGGATTGGTGTCTGGGAGAGGATGGGGGTGACAGGCAGGAAGGCTGAGTGGATAAGTACAAGACTTCAGTGACTGAGGAGAACACTGTGCATCAGGCATTCCCAGTTGTTGGACTAGACCCAGGGGAACTCAGGTTCAAGTCCACTTTCATCCACTGAAGCTCACTGGGTAACTTAAAGCCCATCACTCTCTCTCAGCTTAACCTACCTCACAGGGTGATGGTTGTGGGAAAAAAAATGGAGGAGGTTGTGCTATATATAGGGAAAAAGGAAAGGCCAGATACCAATAAGCAAAATAAAACAAAGACATGAGAAAACCATTTGCCCTTTGACCAGGTTTATTTAAATAAATATGAGAACATCAAATAATTTGAAACTATGGGGAAAGGGATGATGGAGAGAACTTGGATGGGTAGGATAAATTGCTCCTCTGAGCTTCCCAGTCTGCTCTCAACTTCTTCAGGGCACAGAGGTTTTTCTTCTGGGCCTCTAGTTCAGCATTCAGTATTCTCCCTGTTGAAAAATGTCAAGAAAAGCAAAGTAAAAGGCTATGTCACCAAGTCTGACTGTGATGGTTTTGATTTGAATTCCATGTGTTTATGTTCCCTTCATTATTTTGCATAATAACGTTTCTGCCAGCCCCTGTTCTAATGTGAGATAGACCAGGAAGTGATTGTTCAGTCTTTGTGTGCTCTATCATGCTTTCTGCTGGATGAAAAGTTAATAATTATAACTATAAATTTGCATGAAAACTTAATATGGTAATTCCATATCAAAATTCTGTTTTGCCAGTTTAATGATGTAAGATTCTCTTGTTACATCAGCATTTAGCAAAATTCTGCCTAGAATCCTTTTGTATTTCCTAACTGGTGGACTCCTACTTTATTGTGTGTGTCACTCCTGTCAACCTACACATTTTCAGTGGGCTGATTTTCATTTTCCAGCACCCTTTCTTCTGATTTCTCAGTGTATATGCATTATATATATGTGTAACACATGTGCAGAATATTGAGACATTGAATCATGGGCACCAAGTATAATTAGCATAATCAATGAGAAATAGGGCTTCCCTGAGAGATTATCAGGTTTGGCAGCATCAGTGGGATGTGACAATTTTTAAAATTTGGAATTACAGATTATTCCAACATCTCAAGATTTAGTCTATACTTCCAATTTTAGAAAAATAAGAATGGTACTGAAGTTGTGTCTATGTACATACTTACATGCAATAAAACTAACTTGAAAAATATCCTTCCCTGTAGTCTTAAACATAAAGGTTAACATCAGCATAGATATTATTCCTTGGTAACTTCTACTATGGCTGTTACCCTTAGGGAATGTCTGCAGTTTTACAAGGTGGGAGGAGCAGAAATATTACAATAATACAACAGAGTCCACCAAAGGTACATACATCAGAGTTTCAATAATGGAAGGGGCTTTCCCTGTGTCTTTGCCAATATTGGATAGACCCCATTCTTTCAAATGGAGGCTATCTGTAACCAAATATGTGGGAATTTCCTAATATAATCTTGGCTATGTAAATGTAATGTAAAAAGCTCACATTGGTCCATGTCTGAAAACATCCAGTACTACTATATTTTTTCACACTGGTTCATCTCTCCCCTACCCTGTTAATTTGATGTTGTTGTGATAATGACTTGAGAAATGAAATGTTTCCTCTTCTCATAAAATTTCAGGTGGACCTCATTTTCTTCTAGATCACATTGAATATTGTGAATGGTAGCAACAACTTCAAAGAAAATCTTGGAGGACAAGTGGAACATTTCTTTTCACAAACATTTTTCATTCAACAGAGGTTAATGAAACTGAAGAGAAGATATAGGGATGTTTGGATAAACATGCTGCCCTGGTTTTCCCAGTGTGACAAAACATAAGCAACATCCTTGGCAGAGTCAACAATGGGGACATACGCATACACACATATATACTTGCATAACAGAAATAAGAATGAGCTCCACGCAGGCAAGTGCAGGGACCCTAGAGCATGCTTCAATTGTGACAAAAAAACAGAAATACAATGCACCAAGACTGGATGAGAATGGGAAACTTAGAGGTTAGCTAGGTAGGGTTCCATATGAGAAGGGGAAAAGTTGGAATTGAAGCAGAAACAGTCTAGGAAAACAAAAAAGAAAAGAAAAGAAAAGAAAAGAAAAGAAAAGAAAAGAAAAGAAAAGAAAAGAAAAGAAAAGAAAAACCCTGACCAAGTGAGGAAGAGGAATGCTGAAGTCTGGAAGTGATAGAACCTACAGCGCCCCTGTAGCTAACAAAGAGGGCCTTTTTTGGCCCATCCATGTCAGAGTCTGGTGGGATCCCAAAGGCACTTGTTTTCTGCTCCACAAACATGATCTAGAGGAAGATAAACATACCATTCTCAGTTTTCTAGAGTTCAGTACATTCGTAATGGGCATGTACTGGGCTCCCTGTCAGGTAAAATGGCAAAGACTTAGTCACTTCCCATGTTGGCTGGTATTCCAGACACTACTGGTATGTTTAACTAGCTGGCACTTCCTATGACTATGCATTTGTCACAGAAATAAAAAGCAAACACATGAAAGATCCAATGATCCACTGCCCTGCCCTGTGGAGGACAGCGGAACCCCCTCCAGCTCCTTGGTGTTTCTATTTCTTACATCTGCAGAGAGTGAAATCAGAGCCAAGAGCAGTAGAGGTGCTGCAGCTGGAGTGCCCCCATTTTGCTTCCATTGCCTTCCATATATATATATATATATATATATATATA